ACTACTCAACAGCTTCCAAAACATTGATGATAAACAGTCGGACTTGACAAGGGCTCAACGTAAAATGCTAAATTAACATAAACCTAGATAATGGGAGAACCAAAGAGAAAAATCCCAAAATAGAAAACCACAGTAGTGATGTGCTACCACCACAGTGTTCACAACTAGCACCACTAGGTCATCACAACATCAGCAGAACCAACTCTAAACCATCAGCCACACAGCCAGGAGCAGGTCAATGCAGACACAGACAGATGAACAAAGTGGAGTCTCTCTAAACTTCCAGTCTTGCTGGGGAGACAGCATCTAGAGGGGCCGGTGGGCTGTGCCCCACCACAGACAAGGAGACAAAGCCACGTTGGCAAGGGAGGAGGCCCCATCTCACTGGGAAGGCAATGAGCACGGTGCCATCTCTGGGGCATGGGTGTAGATTCTGTGGCACCAAGTGGGACCTCCCAGAAGACAGGTCTGGAATGGGTCTGAGGAGAACGAGTGACCAAAACAGACAACGGGAGAGCCCTGGAAGGGAGTGAGAGGCTCAAGAGAAGAGAAGGGCCCTGGATACTTATGGGACCGAGGTCCCTGGGGGTCAGAAGACCAGTCTGAAGTAGGGTGCTATTTTTCTCTAAGATACTAATCAATCAGTCCATGGATGGAAAAAATAGGCAAGAGTAAACAAATTTAGAATTTATTTAAAATTTTGTTTTTATATATTTTAAGCTTAGGTTTTGTCCTAAAGTAACAACACATTTTGGGTCCCTAAAACATGTGCTAAAAATTATTGCCAAAAAAAAGAAAGAAAAGTTAGTAGTAAGTACTGAGGAGAAATAACGAGATTACTAAGTTCCTTGGATCCAGCCCCACCTCTGCAGTGAGGTCTTGAGGCTCTAGGAATAAGGAATCCCTGGCCTGCAGCCCCTTGGCTCTGATCCAGAGGAAGGCTGGGCCGCGGGCCTTGAAGAGCTCTGATGAGAATAAAATTGTAGGATTCTAAAGAAAAGCAGTCTTAGGAAAAGACAGAAAAAGGGAAAGTGAAGGACAGAAGAGACAAAATGAAGAGTAACTATTGCCACAGAGTTTTGGAGGAAAGGCCCGAGTGTGCTATGTCTCTCTGAGGATTTGGATAAAAAGTTGGGGTCGATGGGGACAAGGTGGCACTCTCTTCCCCACTGGGGGCCTCTGTGACCTCAAGGGAGAACAGCAGCTTGGAGGGTGCCCAGGGCCTAAGAGTCTCGTCACCTGTAGTTTCTAAAGATACCTCTATATTTTATCATTTTTTTTCTTTCTCACTCTTTTTTTTACAACAAACCTTTATGCGTATCCTTGATATTCGCCATGATTCATCTAACAACGACATCACCATATACACTTTTTGTAATATTTTCTATCAAAAATCGTACGGGGGGGGGGCATAAAATTCAGGATTTTGGTCTTTAGCGATCCTACCAGCCACAATTGCATATTAAAATATTTCTAGGTTTGTGGAACTCTACTGTCCTTTGAGAATGGGAAAACAAACTTCTCAAATAGAGAAGGCCTTAACAATTATTTTGGTACCCAAATTAAGTTTATTTCCAAACAAGGAAGCACTAAGAATTTATCCCAAGAAACATGTTGTGTTGAAAAAGCAATCTATTTTTAAACCTCTGTCTTGGCTTTGTGTATATTCATTCATTCAGCAGGATATTTAAGGATAAGCCCCAGAACAACAGGGACAGGCATGACTGGAACAGCCGCGACAAGAGGACCCAGGACCAGGCCCCGGGGAACCGCAACACTGCTGTGTGTGGAGAGGGCTGAGGTCTGAGGACCAGCAGCTCGGGAAGCCACACCAGGAGGGTGAAGGAGGAGGGAGAGCACAATAGAGGCGAACGGTGCAGAGACCAAGTCCAAGGACCGATCCGGTCCCTTAGACCAGGGACCAGGGAAGTCAGCAGGGGCTGGATTACATGAAAACCCTGCTTCTATTATAATTCTTGATTAGCCAACTAAGAAGGAGAAGGCAAAGGATATTCGTGGCCATGAAATGTTAAAGGAATTCAGATTTTCAAAAGATCTTTCAAGAAATTTATGGAAAAGTTATTTTTAAAGTCTTTCTTTTTTTTAATGACCCAGAGTTATTTTTTTCCCTACTATAAATTTCCTTTTAGAATTCATAAACAAAGTCAAATCTATTTTAGCAGCATAATTTTATATTATTTGCTTTGCTGATTTACATCTCAGCAGCCGCCGCTTGATCTAGTATCCATCTGAAGGATACAGAAAGCACACTTACCTTGTAAACAAAGAACAACTAAACTGTATTGGGCCCCCAATTTACTCACAGAATTGTAAACTATTTAATACGTTCAAGTCTTAATCAAAACCCAAGTCAAGATTGGGGGTCTGTGGTTTAATAGGACTTGCCTTCCTAATCAGTTTACTTGTTTGTGATTTTGGAGAGCCTCTTCTATTCACTGTTGTTCATGCTGATCTCGACATATATTAAATTAGTTACGTATATATTAAATTATTAAATTAGTTACGTACAGAAACAAACTCAGAAGATCACAGTTACCTGGATTCAGAGAAAAATCTTAGAATCAATGGAAAACAGTTGAAGTGTTTGTGTGAAATTACCATTTGCAAAGTAAAGGAAAGTGTGGATGGATATACTTCCTGTTAGACCAGCTCCAAAAATTTAGTTTCCAAACAGCCATGATGGTCACGACAGTTTTGAACGACTCAAAATTGCCTCCTGGGTTCTAGTTTCACACCCTCATTTACAAAATTGGCTGTTTGTATCTCTATGTCTCAAAACATTTAAGACATTTTCCAGTGAGGCTGATGAGTTTATGGTTCAATCTTCAGTAAATATTAAGTTTGTAGATGTCAGTTTGACTCAGGAGCAGGAGACTCCTCTAAAGGGTCATCAACTAGTTTGTGTTCATAAACATATCACGTATATAACGTGAGGGAAGCTCAAGGCACACTGACGGTGGCACCCGAGGAGGCCAGACACACATGGGCATAGACATGGCCCGGCACATTGCCCACCACGATGGCCCTGATGAGGCTGCGCCTGAGCTGCTTTGCCCAGGGCTTACAGAGAGGGCAGCAGTCCACTGTGGATAAGGGTTCATGGGCCAGACCAAGATAAAAGTACATTTGCTGACTTCCAGAAAACGAAGAGAAAAATACTAAATTTCTCATTTTTAGTCACACACATGCACACACACACAGATGTGCAAAACTGAAAAGGAACTAATGCTTTGAAAAGCATTGAGTTACTGGGAAAAATTCCTAACTGTTGCATCTACAAACAGAAATTTAAGGTTACAGGCAAAAATCTGCTAGATTAGCTATAAGCAGTGTAGGGCTTCACACAGTTGGGGAGACCATCAAAGCCCCTCGTGCAGCCCTCCCCTAACTCCGCTGCACATGCCTAAGAGTGCGGGGTCATGGAGATGAATCGCAGGAACTGACCCTACAGGTATGTTTGATAATCAATGACGACTCTGCGTGCATGCTCGGCATTAAATAAAAAATGAAAAATTCACAAGATCACCATACATTGCAAATGCTAAAGAATTAGTTCAATTTATAATTAAAATTTCCTTTTAGTAATTTTATGTAGAGAGACATAGAAAACATACTAAGGGCAGAAACTTGAGTTTGTTTACCAAATATTGAAATATTTATAAAATTTCATTTAGCTTTTTTACTTTATATTTATGATGTAATAAATACATGACATCATTGTAATGTAACAAATACACTGTTAAGCTTAGGATTTCAGAATGGCTTTGAATTTGCTACTATTTATTGTCATCCACCTGTAATTACAGTGTAACTACCAGGCGGTACTAATAAAATGCCTGACAGCTAGAATGACAAGTAGAAAAGCATAGAAGTAATTTTCAGTCTTAAGCCAATGATGAAGTACATGTAGTTTAGGTAAGCAATCACCTGGCCTGGTGCTCACCGTTCTAGCCAAGGAGTCTCCCATGTTCTTACTTCGGAAGGGATGAGTGGCCCCTGCCACTCCCGGGTCAGTTCTTGCCCCACACGCAGATTTTAACTATTTTTAGCTTCCTCTGGCTTTTTTTTAATGGTTGTCCTCTGACCTGAAAGCAGCTTATCATTTCCCCTGCCCTCCGCTCTTCCCTAAACATAATCGAAGCCCTCCAACCAGGCCCAGGGACCGGCTTCTAGAATGCCTCCCCACAACCACACTGCACGCCCACCACCCTTTGAGTATTTCCAGCAGGGACACAGCCACACTGCACGGTGATTAATTTGTTTATAGGCCTGGACCTGCCAACTGACTGTGAACAACTTGAGGGCAGGAGCTGGGGTGGAACATAGTTGTGTCTGGGAAAGTTGACCCATCTTGGGAGCAGAATGTTCAATAAATAGGTGTACGGAGCTAGAGTTAGGAACCAAAGACAGCATTCTAATGACAACATTCAGAAGCTGTGCTTTGATTTTGATACCTCAAACCTGGGAGTTAGGGGGAACAGTTTCAGTAAATTTTGTTCCCTGATTCAAAAGCTCCCTGATGGTAAAGGGGTTAAATCTTGCTGCTAAATGAGGCTTTACACAGCCACTGCAGCATGAGTTCAATCCCCGACCAGGGAGCTACCCACATGGCGCAGCAGACCTCTCCTGCCTCGCCCACTGCTCCCTTCAACAGTGGATTTCAGTAGATTCACCTGTTCTGCTCCCCACTCTGTCTCTGGTGAATCCTCTCACTCCCACATCTCTGGCCTACACTGCAGTTCTTATATGCATAAATAAATAAATCTTTTTTAAAAAAGTCAATGACTTAAATGAAACACTTGGTTTCCTGTATATTCCTCACATTCTCCGTAACAAAACCTAATCTGATCGCAGTGGGAGAGCAAGCTGTAAACGTCTCCTGAGTGTGTCATAAAGAGAACAAGTGCTCTCTGTCGAGCCCTCCAGGCCACTAGCAGAGCAGGTGGAGCCTGCACAGCAAGCCACACCAGACTACACACCTTGAGTCCAAAGGCCGTGTCCTCCGAGGTCAGGACTTCAACCTGAAATCATAAGGAAAAGATCATTTAGGCACTATCGAAATCTTGTGGAGTGTAGCCACTGAGGCCAGAGCCCGGGTCTGCCTTGCAATTAAGAGCTTTGAGAACACCAGTGTTGCTCTCGGTCAGATGTAGAGGAGGGGAGGTGTGCATCAGGACTGGGTGTCAATCCTGGCCCCCATCCCAGTGCCCACTTTACAGCAGGATCAGCAGGAACAGGTCATGCTGATGTGGGTATAAGCCCCTCAGAGTGACCCAGGAAGCCGGGGCCCGTCCTCCCCTGAGTGGTGGGATGCTGCATGCACGTGGCTCTCTCCCTGGCAGACTGGTGAGGGGGAGCTGTGCTTCCTGAAGCAGCTTCAATAGGCGGTGAAGCTGCAAGTTGCTTCTTGTCCTGCTGGAGCACAGCAGGCAGGCTGGGCCTCTGGAATGCTGCAGAGCAAGAGTTTCTGAAACCACACTCAGGAGAAGGCAGCGTGTAAGCGCAAGAGGAGAAGTGATGGCAAAGCCTCAGCATCGCTTGCTGGCCTCCTGCAGCAGGAGAGACAGCTCGTTCCCACGGATTTAAAATGCTGCGTGGAACAAGACGTGTGTTGATAATTACTGTTTTTTAAACATAATTATTCAGTCTGGTGTATAAAGCTTTTAACTCTGACTACCAAAGAGTACCAATATAGATGGAAAAGAGCAAGGGAAAATATGAATTCTTCTAACTGTCTGGGGAAGATGGTGGCAAGTCAGGATATAGCTGACTTCGTTGCTGGTGTTGAACCTTTCAAAACCAGGTGTGTGTGGTAGCCGATTAAGTAGGAGGCACACAGCCCTACCCCAGGTGTTCCTATAAAACAAAATTGGTTTTATCTCCGGGAGAAGGAGATACAGAAAGGAAGATCAATTCAATAAGACTGTTATGTTATCCCGTGTGAAAGTAAAAGGGTCAGAAGAGGAAACGAGGAAACTGTTTCCTCTCACAGCTTTCCTGAGAGCAGTCCTGCGCCACCGGCCCCTGACACAGGCAGAGAGGGGCACACTGAGGAGAAAAAGGCAGGACCAGGTGTTGAGAGGTCAGACCAGCAGCCTAGCTTTGACCAAAACCCCTTGGGGGCTGACACCAAGGGTGATTTCCGAGTAAAGACTGAATTGCTGGATCAAATGTAGCACAAAATAATAATATTCAGGACAGAATTTCTGTTCACACTTCAAATTCCAAAGCTAGTTGTTAGATTTGAGAAGAAGGCCTTATTACAGACCTGGTTTTCAAAATGTTATTTGGAATTTGCATACGTTTGAAATGCCTAACTCCAACATCGGGTTACTAGTCTCATATATATTTACATTACAACCTCTATGCAACATTGAAGACTTTCGCTAAAAGGGAAAAGCACCAGAAATTTGCTGAACCTTTACCGTGAACATGAACTGACGTTAGCTCTTGAGTTACAGTCAGGCACCATCTGCATACCTCAGTGCTAGGGACATTCACTGTGATGTGATATTTCATATACACGCAGTAATTTTAAGAAGATTCGAGTTTAAGTTTGCAAAAAGCACCTCTGGAGTGAACTTTGCCTCAGCTTAACACATAAAGCCAAAGTAGTAGCAAGAAAAGTTGATCACAAATAGAAATCTACCTTAAGACATAGTTTAGGATCTTTGACAAGCTGAGATGACAGCAGACCAAAGCTTTTGAGTGGAATTTAGGAACACGCCATGTGGCTAAGTGAGGAGACAGAGACCAGACAGGTCTTGAGGGCTGGGGGAGAAAGTGGCTCTCAAAGTGTCTCTTCCCTCCCTTGCCCTGTATTCTATGTCTAGGAGACTCAAAGAGGAGTTCTTAAATTTTGTAGTATTAGCCATTTTAATGAAAGCAACTTTAAAAAGCAGTTCTATTTTGTTCAAAAGCATTAGGCTTAAATACTTAGGCGTACTAGTTCAGCACCCTATTTTCTGTTTTTGTTAGATTTTATTTTCAATGCCCACAGAAAAATAGCTGATTTTAAAAACATGTGATTAACTTCAATTTAATGAAAGAGAAAGCTCAATGTCATAGAAAGCTTTGCATGTGGATCTAAAGAGCATTTTAGCCTAAGTTGGAAGGAATCCCCCTCTAGTGGGAGCAGGGGAGTATTTCAACCTTCACACATCGTTTCCAGGTAGTCGTCCTCAAACTTGACTATCAACAGAATCAGCTAAGCTTTCTTTAATCCTTTGTCATCAATTTGAACCTTTAATCAAAGAAATGGAAGATACTTTATATTTCACAAGCCAAAAGCTCCTATAATTCCAGTATATACACTAGAGGGAAATTTGTGTGTTTGTCTGATGGAGTATTAGTTTTTAGCCAATTATCATCATCAAATTTAATATGGCTATAAAGAAGTCAACATTATGGCTTCTTAAGTTAAAACAAAAATGTTAAATTGGAAAAAATTAGTACATTCTCAGTGGAAAAAACAATAATGTAGTGGGAGGAGGGAGTGAAGAGCCACGTTTACCCAACCCTTAATAAACACTGAGGACGCTGGAGGAGCCTGAACTGGTCGAGTCTCCCTAAGGTGTGAATACTTGGGTACCACGTACTGAAATGTTTCTTTTAAAAGATCAATTCAAACTCAGACCAGGTGAGATTATTCAAGCTGTCATTTATCTTTTTAAACTTCAGTTTGAGGAGACATAAAACAGGTGGTCTTATAAAGTCATCAGGAAAGGAGGTCACTGGTCTTAGGCTACCCTACCCAGCATTCCCCATCACGCGATGCTGAAAGAATGCAGACAACTCTACCAGGATGAGCACACAGGAGGGTGCCTGGTGATGGTCTGGAGAGGGTACGTAGAAACAGGTTGTGAAGGGGCAGGAACAAGTGGACAAATAAGAGACTTCCCAGGTCCAGAAGGCCCTCCCATCAAATCACACTCCACCCAAAGGAGGCCACATCTCCGAGCACCAGTGCCTCAGGGGCCCACCTGACCCAGCTCCTGAAAGGTAATGGTTCTGACCACAAAGGTCAGCAGGAGCCACAGCCCATGGCCCTTTCACTCAAGCATAAGCTCATGTGTGATCTAACTCGTAACCAAAGGAATGAGAATTAAAAATCACATTATTCATTTTTTTCCATAAAAGATACCAAAGGTTAAAATTTCTGATATTTACAAAATCACTCAAATAGAGGGCAGATGAGGACAACATTTGAATAAAACACAATTTGACAGTCTCCATGGAAATGTATGTGTATATAATTAAGTGCTGACTGAACAACTCCACTGATAATCAAGAGCAATAGTAAAGATTTACAAGTTGCTTAATGGTGGTGTTTGTAAGAGTAAAAAGCTGGAAACAACCATGAACTCAATGTCCATTAACAAAAGAGTGCGTGTTTAATAAATACGGTACAGTTGAGCAATGGAATACCATACTGCCATTAAAAAAGAACAAGATGATTTTATGAGTGAAAATAAAGCAAGAGCCCTATGGTAAGATATTCTGTGCAAAGAATCAGGACAGTGCAGAGTAAGCTGACATCTGAGCTCTTTTATAAAATGTAGGCAGGACATACGCTTGATATACAGAGAGCACTGTTGAAAAGAGAGTCTTGAAGCAAACAGTGCATGCTTGGAGGGAGAAAACCTTAACTTTTCATTGTATTTTGATTATGACATAAGAATTTTTTTCTTTGCCAAATGCATGTGTTTACTGTTCAATTAAAAGTAATGAGTTAATAAAATAAGCCAGTAAAATGAAAAACGTTCAGTGTTAATAATAATCATAGAAATGTAAGTGAGCAATCTTTTAGGTTAGCAAAGATTAAAAAGATAGTTTTGAATATTTGTCTGTATAAGCAGGTCTCCGGGTCCTCCTGATGGATATGTCAGTAAGAGCAGCCCTACAGAAAACAAATTTCCAGTTTATATCAACAGTCTCAAAGATATTCATGCCCATTTATCTGGCAGCTGAATGCAAGAGAAATCTTTGTGATGAACTCTTTATCTGAAGTATGAATACTATGTATGTCATTATTTAAAAAAATGACAAACTAGAGAAGAATGTAGGAAACGGGCTGGTCAAAAACAGGGGCTGGCCAAATAAAGTATGCTATATTCATATGACAGACTTACATTTCAGGAGAAACTCAGCTTTCAAGAAGTATTTTATAATGCTTATAATGTCAATTTTTAAAAATAGGATTAAAAACAGAAATGTGGCATCATAAATACTCAAATCTACCCATTTGCTTCCTCCGAGCCTTCTCCAAGATTTAAAAATATTCATTCATGGTTTCCTGTAAAACATTTTATTTTATTTTTGACATCTAAATGTGTGACCCATCTGTAATTTATTCTGAAATAGTGAGGGGAAGAGGTGACTCAGTTTCCAGATAAATAACTTTGGTGCAAAACGATCCATTATTTTCTTCAGTGGTGAGAGACAGCATATATTCACACAATTAAACATTAAAATGACATAAATTTTGCCTCCAATTCCAGGCAGGAAGGGATGGGAAAAGCAAAATGACAGTGCAGCATTGAACCCAAAGGGAGACAGCAGTGATAGGGAAGAGATTAATAAAAATCAACAAGAACCTGATTGAATTTGTAGCCTCAATATCTGTCCACAAGTAAATTACTAAGAAATTAGATGCTCTTGGAAAAAATAATTTTGTCCAGCTTGGTATTTGAAGGATAAAAATATTATCCTACTTAGATTGATTTCTGTGTCTGCTTAGGTTGGGCCATAAAAACCATATACCATCCACGCCCTACTCCATTAAGCACTTTCCCAACATTAAGGACAGGCAGGCACTGATAAACCGTTATGCAAAATGTCCCAGAATTTGACGATTCAAACAGCAGGCCAAATCCTCGCCCCCAGCCCCCCTCCCAGCTTTCACACAGGGCTAGCTAGCAGTGTTTAAAATGAGCAAACAAAGAATTTTGTGGTTTTCTTTTATTATTGTTTGTGATTACTATCATCATCATTTTATCTTATTTTCTTATGATCTATTAAA